CGAACATCCGTTTAGTTTTCGATGATCGTCTCACATATCCGTATTTTCCTAATTCCGAACATCCGATATTGTTATCATAAAAATGATGATTTTTTGAAGAAAACGGATGTTCGGAATGAAAAGTAGCGACGAAACGTCAAAATGTCATAGGTGTAAGTGAAGAGAATATCAACACTCTCATCCACATCCACACCCAATGCACAACATTTTCCATCACTGATTCAAGATTTTTCAGCTAAAGATATGTCTGAAGAAATAAAGAGGCTAAGGTATCGTGTCTGCAGGAACACAGCGAGAAGTCTGAAAAGAATGAACCGATACGAAATATCAGTTTATTCAGCGTAATGTTGAATAATGTGTTACACTCTCTCTTTAACTGTGCCATACTTTGAAAGCTTCTAAATACACGTATTTATATAGATTCTTCATATATGAGCAATAGATATTGATTAATAATCAAGTATGCAGCAGAATAGAAATTTTTTAAATTTAAAAAAAAAAAAATGCTGCGCTTCAAGGACGAAACTAAAACCATTTTTGATGTTATATTTTACATTTATTATAGCATGTCTATTCGAGAATGAAATAAAATGCCAAGCCATTTTTAGAATAATCGTACTCTACTAGCTGTCTATAATCAGATCTTCTCAGAACTACCAAATCAATTTCATCTGTATTAGTCATTTTTTATTTTTAGATGTGAGGATAACTGTCCGTGTTAGTATTCTTTTCTCTCACATCCACACCTACAAGTACATGTCTACGCACACACCTCTGTATGACGTTTCTCTCCTATTTTTATTTTAACTCGGAAGAAACGAGACACTTTAATTTGAATCAATTCTGATTATTTTCTTGTTTTTGGATAAAAGAAAACGAATTCTGTACAATGCATAATTTTTTTCTATTGAATTCAAATAGTTAAAAGAAATATTCTTTGTGATATTAGCTTAGCATTTAAAATGAATATTATGAATTGATACATTCTTTAAAATTAATATAGAATTTCATGTAATTATTTCGTTTTCATTAAGATAAAATATTTGAATAGAATTATTTATCTATTTTAAAACAAATTTAAATTAATTTAGTTTTAAAGAGTTATTAAATTTATTTACAATTCTACCACGTTGAATGAATTTAATGTGTTTATTTTATTTCAACTTAAACTAAAATGATTGAATTTAATTTAGTAGAAATATTCGATTTGTTCTAAATTAAACTAAAATTAATTCATATTGGATTATTTTTGTTATATTTTATACAAATTAAAATAAATTTAATCGGATACATTCATTTATTTACGATTTAAATAATACAAAAATGAAATTATTTTAGCTGTTTTATTCATTTAATATAAAATAAAATCAATTTTATACAGTTATTAATCTTATTCATAATTAAATTACGATATAATAAATTCTATATTTATTTCATTCCATTTTCGAATGAAATAAAAAATGTTTAATGTCTTATATTAAACTAAATTTATTTCAATGTTACCGTTTTATTTTTTTAAATAAAAACATTGATATAAACAGGATTCTTTATTTACAATCCAGAAAAAAATGAAATTTAATTTGATTTAATTTAAAACAATTTTTTAAAGTTCAGAATTTTATTTACGTTCATTTTAATTCTTAACTCTTCATCATTGTTATCGGTTATCTGAAAACATAGCATTGAAATTATCAGCAAACGAACTGTGACATTGTTTTACAAAATTGTTTGGTGTCTTTTTTTAAATAAATTTAGTCTTAGGTAGAAAACGAGGAGATAAGAAAAAATTGACGTAAACAATCTTTTATTTCTTAAAAAGACTCAAAATCTAATTAAAAGCTACCGTTCATCAAAAAAATGTGGTTGGCTTGCAGGAATCAACCAATAGAATAATTTCTAAGGTGCATTAATGTATAGTAAGTGTAGAAAACGGGTATACAATGGATTAATGGATAATTTTTCCTGTCCTGCCGGCGTACTATTGGTTCACTTCTGCGGACCCATCTTTTTGAATAAGTGACATCTATTCTAAATAACTCTCTCGCTCAATATTGGGTATGCTTACTATCCAATAAATGGTTTTCCGGTTGTCTTTATGTACAGAAACAAAGGGTATGCTTGAACTGAGCATGTATCCAATGAGCCTAAATAACAAGAATATCTAGCCATTGTTTGACACTTCTACATAATAAGCATCGCTCTCTCCATCATGCACATTGAATCGTGCACACAAAGCACTGAATGTGGGTGAGAGCGTTGCATATCGTGTAGAAATACCCTTTTACTCTGAGCAATAGTATAATTTTTTTTAGATAATAAAAAAAAAACAAAACAAAAAATGTTCGAAGGAAAATATAAGCCCGATAGTGAAAAAGAATTATCTAAAGATAATTTATCGAATTCACGTGAATTTCAAGTAAGAAAAAAAAGAACAAATTATCTTTCATTATTAAATAATTTTTTTTTCCATAGGAAAGTGTGGTTACCTCAAATAATTCAGTTCTATTTAATAATACTAAGAATAATGGTGAGACATTTTACTCAATTAAATTTTTATTTTCAATATTGTTATAGAAGTACGCTTTGGTGAACAACCTATTTATGCAAGTTCATCATCATCAGACATGAACAATCGTAATCAACAAAGAAATGAAAATAATGTTTTCAAAGCTGTTTCAGGTGCACAATTATCTTTATTTTATGGAAGTGTTAGTAGTGTAACAACTGAACAAGATGAAGATTATATTAAAGATCCACCTGAAACAGAAGACAAAACACATGATAGTTTTGAATCAGTTTCAGAAGAAGCAACTGGTAAAAAAAGAACTATTTTAAATTATATTTTATACATTAATATTTCAGATAAATTACAAGCTTCATTAACTATTCCTATAACAACAACTACTACAAACTATAATCAACCACAAAAACGACACATTATGATTAGTTATAACCAGTCATCACGTGAAACGTGTCAAAAGATTTATGATCGTCTTGTCGTAATTATACATATATATATATATATATATAATATTCTGAATTCCAATTGATGATGGAATTTTTTATTTTTGATATTCTAGGAAAGAAATTATAAAGTTTGGATGGATTTAACAAATATGGTTGATGATATTCTTGTTAGTATGGCTCAAGCTGTTGAAAATTCTTATATTATACTTATTTGTATTAATCAACAATATTATACAAGTGATTATTGTCGATTAGGTAAATAAACTTTTTTTTTAAAATATAATTTTTCAGTTTTTATCATATGAGTAAATTTCTGTAGAAGCTGAATATGCAGCTGAAAATCGAATTAAATTTATTCCATGTCTAATGGAAAAATCTTTTCGTGCGGAAAGTTGGTTAGGTATTATTAAAGGTTCTAATGTTCACGTTGATTTTTCATCAGTCGAAAATTTTGATCACTCATTCGAAGAATTAGTTCGTCAAATAACGTACGTTGAAAAAAAGTTATCTTTACAACCACGTAAGTTTTTTTTCATTTATAAAACAAGATTTAATTATTAATTTAGGTCGTACTCCTACACCTTGTTCATTTATGAATCCAATACAATTAACAACAATGAATACATTAGATACAGCAATATCAACAGGTATTAATGATACAAGTTGTCGTCGTTTCGATGATATTATTCGTAAATATAAACGATCATTAAAAAAAGAACGATGTGAATTATATCAATTAAAACCAAATGAACTAGCAAGTCTAATTATTAAACTTCGTCAAGAATTATTTGCTGATCCACATATATTATCAGATAGTGAAAGATCTGATGGTGAAGTTGGAAAGCAGCACAATGATAATCAATATTTAAAACAAACTTTAAGTCCAACACCATATCAAAATGAATTATTATTAAGCTTAGTTAATCGTATTACAAAATTAGAAACTATGCAACAAAATAATTCACATTATTTCGACATGTATGGATGTTTTAAAGTAACATTAGGTATTATGGCTTTATGGGCGTTCAACGTATATATCATAAAGAATAGACATATATTATAATCTGTTAAATAATTTTTTTTTTGTAAAATTTGTTGACTAATAAAAATTATGTTAGACATTGCACATATACATAGAATCATTTAAAAAAACGAGATTTCGTAAATTTTGTTTGATTAATACAAGAAAATTTGCTTCTCTAGATTAGAGTACTGCATCAGGTATTTTTATGGGTATGAGTAAAGACCTTAAAAAAAAACTTCGGATCAAAACTGAGATAAAAAAACGCTTTTTTTGGTGCAAATATCAATATTTCCACCGAATATTCGCATAGGTGGTTGTGCCACTCATGAAATCACTTGTGCCAGATAGAACTCGATGGGATCTATCGATTGATACCAAATAAGCCATGATCGAGGTTAAGGCGTAGTGTCCAAGAGGGCAGTACCTATAAAAACAGCTCGAGTAAAATTTCACAACGACAAACCTATGACACCACCAGCAGGCTGCACCAACCCGAAACAAGCACCGAGTACAGATGAAAAAAAGCAATTGAAGATGATAGACTCGTCATGCAAACATAACTTTCAAACATGCATAAACTGCCAACCAAAATCATTGTTTCAAAAAGCCAAATCCAATACTTGTCACTATATCAGGTAGCCATCCAACAATGCCAATCGCAAATAAGATATAACAAAACGTTACGCAGTGTCCATCCATTGTAGATAACTCATTCATAGATCTCATCGGACTACAACTCGGAGCATTCACTTCACAAGCGGCAAATCCATAACAGAGAATATTTAGTCTGATCAAGGATTCCAAGGCTTCATTCCCATGGCATCGTCCCGTTACTACTTGATGCTCGCCTCAGATTATTGATTATTTAGTATCAATCAATAAATCTACTCATTTTGAAACTGGTACACGTCATCCACGGAGTGACACAACCATGCCTGCAATCATCTCCTCGGATCAACGATCTCAAGGCCCACTTACATAAGCTATCAATTACTTGCTATTACATCCTTCACTTCTATCATTCTTCATTTGATACCAATCGATAGATATCATAACGTTGCAGCTACGACGGTCGACTCCACAACTAGAATCGCTCGGGAAGCGACCATTTCTTCCCATGAAGGGTTCCAAAGCTCAGTTCTCAAAGCTACTCACCCCTTGCACCCTGTTCCGTCAATCAGATCATTGCTTATTTCATATTAATCGATAGATCTCATCGCGTTCTATCTGGCACAAGTGATTTCGTGAGTGGCATAACCATCTATGGGAATATCTGCCAGGATTAAGGCTCCAGAGACATGGTTTTAGTAAGTGCTGATCCCGCGGTGTCTGTTCCTAGACTTCGATCATGGCTTATTTAATATCAATCGATAGATCTCATTGAGTTCTATCTGGCACAAGTGATTTCGTGAGTGGCACAACCATCTATCCGAATATTTGCCTGAATTCAGATTTCCGAGACCTGGTTTTTATAGGTGGTGACCTCTTGGACCCTACTCCTTGACTTCGATCATGACTTATTTGGTATCAATCGATAGATCTCATCAAGTTCTATCTGGCACAAGTGATTTCATGAGTGGTACAACCATCTATGCGAATATTTGCCTCGATTAAGGGTTCCGAGACCTGGTTTTTATAGTTACTGCCCTCTTGGACCCTACATCTTGACTTGGATTATGGCCTATTTGGTATCAGTCGATAGATCTCATTGAGTTCTATCTGACACAAATGATTTCGTGAGTGGCACAACCATCTATCCGAATATTTGCCTGGATTGAGAGTGCCGAGACCTGGCTTTAATAAGTACTGACTCCTCGGTGTCTGTTCCTAGACTTCGATCATGGCTTGTTTAGTATCAATCGATAGATCTCGTTGAGTTCTATCTGGCACAAGTGATTTCATGAGTGGCACAACCACCTATGCGAATATTCGGTGGAAATATTGATATTTGCACCAAAAAAAGCGTTTTTTTATCAGTTTTTTTTAATTTTGCGGGCAAATAATGTAGTGGAAACTTGGTGATCCTATGGTGTTGTATAGTACATTCGATTTGCTGACTGGCACAACTAATATTTGATCTGGCACAGCTGTCATTTCGAATATTTGGTGGAAATACTCGAATCTGCTGCTAACTTTACTTACGTCATATATAGGTACATTATCTATCAAATAGAGGATGAATAACAACACATACTTAGAGCATACCACAAGTTCTAGCTACGGCATTTAAAGGACCTTGTCGGATAAGGTGATATATTGAGGAATGAAAAACCAAATATACCACGTTGTAGAGCTTTTCCAGACGCGTCGAGTGGCATATTGTAAATCCTGTTTTCATCAGACTTGGAAAGAACTAGAGTCAATTTACTGATAGACAACTACACACCCACAAGCTGATTGAAGATGCTACGTATATGAAGTTGTAGCCTGACAAAAACTCTACAAAATCGTATGTGAGAAAAAATATTTTACAAATACTTTTGACTAATTCTAAGGATTACAATATTCAGTAACTTATCATGGTTGGGTATGGATGCGTGCGTGAGTATGTAGTAGTCTAACAATAAATTCACTCTAATCTCTTCAAAGTTTGATGAAAACAGGATTTATTATATACCATTCGATGCGCCTCAAAAATCTTTACAACATAGTATACTTGGTTTTTTCATTTCTGAATAGGTCACTTTATCCAACAAGCTTCTTTAAACGCCGTGGTCAGAACTTTTGGTATGTCCTAAGTACAACATTTCTCAAAAAAATCAAAATTTAAGTTCTACTTTTAATTGATGGGAATGTAGTTACTTTCATAATAAAAGACGTGTAAAGACACTTAAATGGGCAAGTTTTGCATCTGAAAAACGTGCAAACACTTTTTGCCGCAATATTTTGACGGGCTTTGCAGACAAAAATGACTTTTTTAGACGTGGTGTACATCAAAAATATTATGGGAAAGCTTTTTGGATGTTTTCTAGACTAAAAATTTGCCTTTTTGAAGTGTCTTCAAACACAACTTGTATGATGAAAGTAGCTAGTTTTGATGTTTTCTGAATAGATGTGAACCGCGATTTGCACAATTAAGCGTGCTTTTTGAAATTCTTGTGTTTGAGGATCTGGATGTGAGGGCATACAAAAGATTCGCACACCACATTCACACATCTGCAACAAATTATCCGATCACCGAATTTATTCTGAATATGAAGCAACTAATGAACTATCATCACATAATTAGGTTTTATTATTTCTTTTCACAAACAATATATTTAGTTCACCTGTTTTATTAATGATCTCAAAAGGCACATATTTCTAAGAGTTGATTTTTTTTTTGCACAAATACTTGCACATTTTATCTTGATCAATGAAATGAATGATAAACATTGTATATTATTTAAAACAAAAAGAAAAAGAAAAAGAAAAAGAAAACACATTAGCTGTTCACTTTTATTGCAGTTCAAAATCCAACACATATCTCAAATCAAATAAATATATATATTTTTTTTTCTATCAATATATTCTGTGTCTGTGACTCTCTTTCACTTGCTTCACATACTTAACAACATTCAAAGAAGAGAGAGAGAGAGAAAGAACAAAAAAAAGACGATGAAAACGGGAAACAACAGTAAAAATAAAATTATTACCGCAGTAGCTGCGTGCATACGCACAAAAGGAAAAAGTTTATACGTATATTCAAATTGTGCATGTATTTCATCCATAATAAAAACAGATAAGTTAAATTAATTTTTTTTTTGTTTTCTCAATCATAATAACCAATAGCCAGAGGCCAACTAACAACATTTAACAGTGCAAAGAACAACAGATAAAACAAAAAGATATAAGCCCATACATAGGGAAAGAAGAATAGATATAAAAAAAACGAAAAAGAAAAAATATTTTTTTTTTTCTGAAATGATTTCACTGTTATTTTCTTATTCCTGGAAAAGAAGAAGAAGAAGACGACGAAGGAGAAAAGGTATTATCAACTGATATTGATGCATCATTATTATACTTTGAATAGATAACATTGGCAAAAATTGCCATAAATATAGCTAATAGAGCAAAACCAACTGATATAACAAATGCCCATTGTTGATCAGTTAATGTTCGATTTTCTAATAATTTCATTGATTTAAATTTTCGATAGATTAGTGAACGATATCGATTAATGAATGATAATTGTTGTTCGCGATTATCATTATTTAATAAACGATTATCTAATGTTTTTGATGCTGATAATGCTGCAGCTAAATCTTCTGGTCGTGGTAAAACAAAATGTGTTGCAGGACTAAATGGACTATATAATGATAAACCTTCATTTGTTGTTCGAATAGCACAAACGCGTGCACGATAATCAACACCGGATTCTAAATTTGTTGCACGATATGATGTTAATTCACCATTATAAATTTCTGTATAATCATTTTCTTTTCTATAGATTTGTAGTTGTAATATATAACTTATAGCATCTTTACCAAGAGGTTTATGAGCTTGCCAATTGAATACACATGAGGTAGATGTTATTTCTGTTATATTTGGAGCTAAAAAAATATATATATAATAAAGTATTTGTGACATGAAAAATAATAAAAGTGTATAGGTAAAATACATTATTTTACTTGGGACATATACCCAGTCGATAGAACTTGAAATTATGAGTCTAGTGAATTTCACTCTGAGATAAAATCTCAAACAAAATAAATGGTTGAAAAATGAAGTCAAATATAGGTCTGCTTCATATTTTGAACATCAGACATTTACTACAACTTCATCTAACATCCTTTTCTTGAACATTTATTTGTTGGAGCTGTTGACTCAGTGTGGGATACAGGAGACTCAGAATTTCAAGCTCTATCGACTGGTATATGTCTCATGTAAAACGGCGTTCAGAGGGTAATTTACTAATGTTCGGAATGAAATTAATTGTACGAAGCAATAATTTAGACTATTACTTCTAACATTGCGGAATTTCACATGAAACAAAAATCTAGTTTTTGAACTGTATAGAACAAAACTTGGTTTCTTTCGGACATTGAAACAGTGTGTTT